AATTAAATTCAAATTTAATTTAATTAAAATCATCTTATGTTTAAATGAATAAATACATACTCTGTATGAATGTATGTGTGGCGCTTTTGGCGATATACAGTCAAAAAATTAGAATCACAGGTGTCAGTGTCTTAGAGACGTATTTTGGTCTAATGTACATTGATCGAGGAAATGTATGCTGTTTTCTTTAACTGCTTAACATGCATAATTCACGCTCCATTTCTTTTTAACTTCCTATGCTTTATTTCGCTTACTTTGTTTAGTAATGCTCCTTTTCTATTGTTTTCCTGACCTATTATACAATTTGTCACGCTTCATAATCTTGCGATTCAATCACTTAATCACAAATGTAAGCACATCAGCACATCCATATTCAAACAAATGTACGAGTATAAATAAGCACACAAGAGTACAAAATGGTAGGTACACACATTAAGTGAAAATAATCAAATAATAAAACTTAGTATTAACATATGCAAGCTGCGTTTACATATACAAATGTATGTATGCAGACCCTGCAGAAAAAAATTATCAATTGACAAAAAACAACAACCAACTTGTAGTTAGCTTTATTGCGAGATTTCTATAAAACATATAACTTCTAGTTAACTACAAAAAACTAACTTAAAACTAGTTGAAAAGTAATGTAGAACTAATGCAGACGTAATCGACAGATTGTTTTCTGTAAGTTCTTTTTAAATATCCTCACACAAATTTTACTTTGAATACACTTTTTTACTGAACTTCACAAATAATCTTTTGAATTCAGGACAAATGAAATGAAAATTGAAATTTGGGCATATCATTTTGAAGTTATGTCTGACGGAATTCGAATATATGTATGTAGGACCAACTACAGCAGAATATGTAATGTCAAATAAAGTAAACAAATAAACAAGTAAAAAATTAAAAAAAATGTTCTTATTGATATATTATGTTCAAAAATAGTTTGTTACAAGTAAGTTGACACCTAATGCAAGACTATTTCACGGTCATCGCCATAGAAATATAGTAATGTTTTCTTTGGTTCCTTCCTATCAACTTCAAGCTAATTTATGGCGTTTTCGTTTCTACCGAAAAATGTTACCCTCTCATTGCCTTCTCAGCACAAACACTAAGGACCGGACAATGAAAAGGCAACATTTTTTGTAGAAACGAAAACGCCATTATAGTTAGATACATTTCCTGCAGGGTATGTATTCGTAAATACGCACATTTACACACAAATACAATGCGTTTGCATGCAGTACAATTTATGACGCATTACGAAGAGAGAGCGCGGCTATTTCGTGTTTGCACAACTCCTTCGCCCATTGCATGTTAAGTTAAATATGTATTGTTACATAATCCCTTAGATACACACACATTCGTTATTGTGCGGACATAAAAATCTTGTTACTTACATTAAACAATATTAAGTTGTTGTTATTGCCTTCTCACTTACTAGTATAACGTACATACATATAATATATGCATTAGGGTTGTCCCAAAATAGATGCGAAGGAATTGTATTTTTTAATAAGGGTTAAAAACACTGTTTCATAGAAATGGTATAGAATTCTTGCAAGTCAATATTTTTCGATCGGAAAACTCTGTCTCTCTTTAAGAGACTTCCAATAACAATACCCAATTGCCTATTTAACCATATTTCAATATTAACTATTATAGGTCCCCCCAAAACCCAAAAAATGCAATTAGGGACCCAGAACAAACTTTTAGTGTTAAACAATGGTCAAATAAACAATTGGGTATTATTATTGGAAGTCTCCTAAAGAGCAAAAAAGTTTTCCGATCGAAAAGTGTCGATATCCAAGAATTGCAAACCATTTCTACGAAAAAATACATTGTAAACTTCATGGGTTTTGTGTCAGTTTCAGATATCTTTTTTTACCAAAAAAAAAAAAAAATGCGGTATTTTTTTATTGCACGAAGAAAGTGCCTAGGGGGTGAGAGCTAAACATTTTAAATGTTTTTTTTTTTGGACCAACCCAATATGCATGCATGCGTATTTTCTCTCCTCTGTATCCATTGTAAATTAAAAAAGCTGCTATATGTTGTTGTTGTTGTTGTTTTTGTTATTTTGACATGCAACATGCATCATGCAATCGAAGGTCCTGCAATGTTTTACAAAGTGTTGTATCCATTTTCTTGTCTGTTCCATTTTATTTTTTGCCTTTTTTCTATACTCTTACACAATTCGTCGCTTTGCTTTCTTTAGATCGATTGATTTTTGTTGTTAATTTTTTATGCTGTATGTATTTTTGTTTAGTGTTGTTTTGTGTGTTTCAATGTTGTTTTTTTTTTTATTTCGTTTTGCGTTTTCATTATATGGTATTAAATCACATAAAAACTTTTCATGCTGGCAACTATTCAGAGTCACGTACCGTTGTGACCCAGTTGACTTGGTCAGCACAGTGGCGCTTGTGGATTACTGTCATTTTCGATAATGGCAAGGTCAGTTTTATTCTCATGTTGCAGACATTTTTCATTTGTTTTGGATTCTGATGTTGCGCGATTAGCTGAAATCGATTGCCGTTTGTTTGTCTAAGGGGAGATAAGAAAACTATTGGAGAGAGAAAAATGTATAAGAGTGTATTTGGGGAGCGTTCAGCCCTGCAATTTATCAGACTAGCTTAATTTATTGTAAGAAATCATCTTTGCCAATTGGTTATTTTTTTTAATCAGAATCTTAATCAAATCTAACGAATGCTGGCCTTCTGACTGAATTCCAGTGGCCAAGCAAAATTTTTAAAAAGAGGCTGACTAAATTTTATTTGTTGTGTTGAACGGAGCATAGAAAAGACCTGAGTGGTTCGAAATGCGTACTGTTATTCTGTAGCGCCTGGGTTCGAGCCGTGGCCAGCAACATCTAAATTATAAAAAGTTTTTTTTTCTTACAGGCAATGAAAAACCTCCGAGTGTATTTCTGCCTTTGAAAAGCTTGTCAAAAAACGATTTTCCATTCGAAGGCAGCGTAAAACTGAATTGCATAGGTCCATCGGTTTGTTTTATAACATCAGGACATACTCCTGACATTGGAGGAGAAGCTTGGCCAAACTCTTTGCAGCAGTGTAAGCGACAAAATATTTTTATTTTTCTCCTACAGTTTAACGCCTTCGCCAAACGGCGGTTGGTATTTTATGAGAAGCAGTTTTTTTTTCATTGAATTGCCTGCCTAGAGACGACCGCTATTAGAAAAAAAAAAGTTTAATTTTTTGATGTTGATCGGGAACTGGGCGCGCACTGCTAACCACTACTGCATGGTATGTACATATGTAAACAAATCGATAAAATCTAGCGATTACGTTTATCGGCCTTTAGCCATTCCTCGAAAAATTCTAAACTTATTATATAGTGTCTTGCTAATTTTCCCCCAAAAAAAAAAAATTTCGAACAGGCTTTGTATGGAAGAAAACGCGCGAACAAAAAATTGCCAAAAACCAACGCTAAATCCTTGCTACTTCAAACTTTTAATATATACACTCACCAGCATATGTTTCTGTACAGTGTTTTTTTTTAATATTTGCAATGTTTTTCGTAACACATTTTTTTCGTTAATTGTTAATAGAAATATAGTTCATTCTGCGTCAAGTGGTATATAAATTAATGCTTAAAATTTTTTACAAAATTTAGGAAAATTCGACAACTTTTCACCAAAACAAAACAAAATTTTTTGGATTTTTTTTTTTTTGAGTATGTAGTTTTGTAGCTCACTCAATTTCAATATAAAGTGCAAGTTTTAAGTGGCTATAATCTACCGTTCAGTTTTGAGAACGCATCCGTGATAAATAAATAAATAAATAAATAAATAAATAAATATGGAGAAAATTATCAACATCATCAACGAAAAAATTCTCAAAAATAAACGGTAGTTTATAGCCACTTAAAACCTGCACTTTATAATTTTAAACTATAATATTGTGTCCGACTGTGTCCGAAATTTTGTTTAAGGCCCGAATTTGTCCCCAAAAAATATTGAAAGTTTTTCTGAAGATGATTTTTTTAAATTAATTGATTTTCAACCATCAAATTTTTAAATTTCGGGTACAAAATGTCACTCAACCACTGGAATGACAAGTTGAAGGATAAGTAATTTCTTTAAGAAAATAACTTTGTTGATGTATTTAATTAATTCAACCATTCTTTGTAAAGAAACGTCATCTCATTTATTTCTAACTTGTTTGTATTGAAAGCAAATTATTTTCACTTTCTTTCAACTCCCACAAAGCTGCTTATAGCTCTGCTATAAGTATATTTGCGACAATCAGCACAAAATCCCTAACAACATTTACACCTAAACATATACATTCGTATATACCTTGACGCCACGTCCCTACATATATAGTACATATATACATATACATATACATATACCTATTCATATTAGCACCTATGTACATACATACCTACAATCCTAAGGAAAAAACACATTTAACGCAAAAAAGAAATTTAATTAAGATTTGGTTTTGTTGGTGGTGTGTGTAGAGAAAAAATTTAATTAAAAAGTTTTCGGTGCAACAATTTCAACTGGAAGTACAACAACAAAATTGTACAAATATAAGTACGAGTATTACTCTAGATAATATATATGTGCATATGTATGCATTTTATTAAATATGTATGTGTATAGATATCTGTGGGAAAGTTAATTTTTGGGCAAGTTGGCTCAAAAAAAAAAATAAAAATGGCAAAGCAGCAACTTGGTGGGGCATACGATGCGGATACTAAACAAAAGTGAGTGAGAGTTTTCGTTATGACCAATACAAACATAGCTGATACCTGCAACACATTCGGTTTTATTTTAAATTTTTTTTAATAGCAGCTAAAAATACAATTTTACTGCTGTGCAAAAATAATAGCACCTATGGCGTTGGCAAATTTTCCAAACCAAAAATTACATCAAACAAAAACCATAAATAAACGACCTAACGGTTTCAGCAATTTCATATTATACGTGTGTATGCTGTGTTGTGCTGTGCTTGTGTTAGTGTTTTTTATTTTCATTTGCGCGCCAGTATTTTGTTGATATTTTGTAATTCGCGCGTACTCCATGGCTCCAAAGGATCCGGCGGCGACAAACGCTCGCTTACAGGATGCTTGCGGCCTGGTGCTGAGGCTCCGCGTGGATGCGTTGACTGCCCGCCACCGCCACCGCCACCATCATCGGCATCATTGGATTGCTCGGGCGAAATTCTGTGCATGTTAGAGAGAGTGGAGAAAAAACGTTGCCAAATGAATATTATTAACAACAACTTTATGTATCGCTGACCTATTTTTGCGTTTGATGCGTGCACTTTTTGCGCGTCGCGCTGCGTCGTCCTGCTGATATTGACGCTTACGCAGATGAAATTGCTTCATTGTGGCATGCACCTCCTCTGTTGTGGGGCAATCTTCACTATCCTCTGGTTCGTTGCCTGTTTCGGTTTCCACCTCGGGCTCCTGCTCAATGGTGAGTACGTGTTCTTCGGCCAAAGCTGCCTCAAAATTGAATTCCTAGAATAGGCGAGGGAAGAAATGTAAGAAAGTAAATTTTTATGACAGAACTTATGGAGCGAGTTACGATATGGTAGGGAATTTAGTATATTTCATAGGATTTTGCGGTAAGGTAAACGTTTTTCTTATTTTGCAGGAGTTATCTAAAGATATATCCTGAACTCCAGCTTAAAAGGAAGTTTTATTAAAAGACCTTAGAAGAAAACTGATCGAAACTCGAATAAAGACAGGCCATAGACAGAAGGCCAATTGTTTCACAGTTTCACACCGTTCAATTGATTACCCTGTTGAACTACTTCGCGTCGCTGGTGAAGCTCATCAGGCACTTTCCGTCGAGCTATTTGAAACGTCCCTAAGGTCGGCCAGGAACGGTGAACCCAAATAACGCAGCCTGCTTACAGTGCAGGGCATTTACACAGAGATGCAAGACTGTTTCCTCCTCTTCGTAGTCCTTGCAGCTTCTGCAACATCTTCGGAAAGGCACGCCGACCCTTTCTGTATGATAACCTATTAGACAGTGCCCGACTAGAGCCCCCACAATGTTAGATATATCCTATCTTCTAAGAGAGTTTACCCTTCGTACCTGCTTCCGATCCCATTTAGGCCACGTCTGGCAAACAAAAACAACTCATGCCTTGCCCTCACATCCCTGCATTAGAGTAGCTGACCGATAAACTCCACCACTTAGTTATTCACTCCTAGAGCTCTCGCGGAGGTTGTTTAAAGCGCCTTCAATATCCAGAAAGCTACGAGATAAGTGTCTTATGCGCAATGGAGAAAAGGCTGATGGGCCTGAGGTCTTTGGGGTTATTATATGAGGCCTTTCCGGCCTTTGGAATAAAGACGACCGTAACATTTCTCCATGGCAACGACCACAACAGTATTTCTGTCAGGATCACCTTTCTGGTAAAATAATGTGGTCAGCGTAACTGGAGTTGGACTTACGAGGTCTATTTTTTTATGAAAAATTACATCGACGTCGAAGTCGACAACCGTAACAAGGCCGATTATGCACATAGATTTACACATACATACGAGCAATAAAATCAATATCTTATAGCGAACATATCTTGTCTACATTACACTCACCGGTTCCTCATCGGGTTGCGGCAAAGTATGCGACCACACAGACGGTATCAGCTTATCTGGGCTGCCACCAATTGACTCCCTTTTGATCTGAGCCTTCGATAGAGCGCTCTTTGTACGCCTCGAAAGCGATAATTTACCCAATATAGGACGACCGCCACCATCACTCTCCTCAGTCTCAATTTCAGCGAGCATTTTGAGGAAATCTTGCAGCTTTTGTGGATCAACAATATCTTTTGGATCTTGAAAGAGCGTTGTCAAATTCGCACTAAGTGGGGTAACCAAGTCCTCTGTTGGAGCTGCGACTGCGGCAGCAGCAGCACTCGTTGTTGTTGTAGTCGTTGCATTAGCTGCTGTCGCTGACGAAATTGTAGCACCGACTGTTGTTGCTGTCTGCATGCCATCTGCTGTTGTAGCCGCCGCTGCCGATAATAGCGATGTATTTGTAGCCGGTGTCGGCACCGGATGCATGCCCATTGTTTGCTCCACCAACTCCAAAGCCTGATTTGCCAGCTGTTGTAGGCCAACAAAATATTGTGGATCATGCATTTCAGGGCGACGATCGGCGAGAAAGATCAAATCGCGTAGTGGATCTGGTGCGGGTGGAAGATTTTGCTGCTGCTGGCGTTGTTTTTGTGTTAGAATGCCATCTGCACCTCCACCTCCTACACCCGACAACGAAGAGTGTAATTGTATGCCCGAACTTGTTGCTGGATCACTAGCGAAGTTCAGCATATCCATGGCGCTGGTGAGATCATTTTGTGGATTCAGGTTATAAGGATCTTTCAGCTTCTTTTTGGTAATTTTAATGGGACTAGAAATTGAGGCTCGCCCCCACATCAAGCGACGCATTTGCTCGCCTGTCATGCCGCGCTTCTTCAAAGCATTCAGCGTTACGCGCCCAACGCGCTGGTGGAGTGAAATATTTTAGTGTTATGAGTGGAGCGAAATATTTTACTAATTATTTGAGTTGCATACTTTCCAATTAGATACGGCTCCCTTGCGTTGCTTAGCTCTTGTCTTCGCCTTGCTTTTGATGACCATTACGCCACGCACCTCATAGCCGGAGTCATCGATCGGCCCCAGTGGTATGGAGTAAGCTTCAAGATAATTTTTAGCGTCGGCTTGTGGCACTGCGCGTTCCAATGTGACCACGATTTTTGCCCACTAAAGGGTGTGACATTAAGTCTCATTAAGGTTTTAATTGTTTTGTTAGTTTTATTTCTTACCTGCTTCATCCACTCCTTCTCGGATCGTTCAATAACTTGTGCGTAAGTATTACCCATCATGGCGATTAACATATTTAGCAAGAGTATCGGCACAAATATCATAAAAATTACAAATACCGTCTTCGATAAATTCGGATAGGTTGTGTTATTCAAATCCGGATACTGTATCAATGAAAAACCAAATGAAAATTAGAATGTTCAAGACATACATAGTAGGTGAGTACGTAAATATTTTTTTTTCGAAATATTTAGCAATAAGGAGACCTTAGACATCGCGGCACAATAAAACTTAGCTACATACATTTCCAATTGCTCTTAAGTTCGTTGCAAAATAACTATTTCCAAGTACAATGCAGACTCTTGCGTCAAGTAAAATGAACTTTCCTTCTCATATGTATGTACATTAGGGTGGTTCGACACTTTTTTCCAGCCATTTCCCCCCAAAAAAAATACAAAAAATGATGGAATGAAAAATTACCTTCGACTCAAAACCGTCCTTTAAAAGTAAGGTTTTGGAGTTTTTTTTCGGTTTTTGACCTAAAACTAGGGCTGTGCGATTATTCGATTACTCGAGCAAGTTGGTTATTCAGTTGTTCGGTTATTCAATTACTCGACTAATCAAGAATTTGATTACTCAAAACGATGATTAATCCAGTTACTTAAAATATGATTACTCAAAAAATTAAATTTACTCGTTAAAATAGTTTGCTTTGGAAAATGTTTAAGTTCTTTTTTAAAATGTGTAATGAAAAAATTATTTTATTTTATTTTTTAAAACAAAAATGTTGTTTTCAAAATATCAAGGGACTTCTAATGCTCTATATGTACAGAGTACTTTGAATATTTGATACTCATTTCACTCATAATGTTGATTAATCATAAAGCAAATTACTCAAATATTATAGTTTTTGGTTAATCAAAATCTTGATTACTCGAGTAACTGAACTTTTGAGTGATCTTAATTTCCAATTAATCGCCAATAGCTATTTTCTTTATGATTAATTAAAATTTTGAATAATCAATTAATCGCACAGTCCTACCTTAAACAGATTGCAATAAACTTTGAAAAAATAAAAAAATCAAATGCAGTTTTTTTTTGTTTCTGCGACCATGGAAATAGATTCCTTGAAGGAAGAACAGCAAAAATAGGTTCTTAGAAATTTTAAAAATTTCACTGTTTAAAGTCAAAAAAGTTCTACCCCGAACTAGTCTCAAAATTTCCCTGCCTGAAGTGCTTCTAAAAAAAAGTCGTGCATTTCCCGAAATTATTTCGAACAAGTCTTTAAACGGTCTCGAAATGGGCCCTTACTAGCCCCAAAATAATCTCAAACTAAACCTGAAATGCTCCTAAACTAGTACCGAAATAATCCTGAACTATTTCCGAAACGAACCCAAAAGAGTTCTGCAAAAGTCTTGATCTAGTCTTAAAAGGAATAGAGCCTGAAATCATGCCGCGCCAGCTCCTTAGATACCCCTTAACAGGCCGCGAAACTTGTACCAAAAATTTTCTCGAATAGGTCTTGAAATGGTCCCAAAGCGGGCCCTTATTAGTCTCAGAATGATCCCGAACTAGTACCAAAATGATACTTAATTAGTCCAGAAATGGTACTGAACTATGCCTAAAATGACCCGGAAATAGTGTTGAACTAGGTTCGAAATTATCCAGAACTAATTCTAAAATATTCTTTAAATATAAGGGCGTGAGATAGTCCCGAAATGGGCCTGAAATAGTCCTGAACAAGTCCCGAAATGGTCTCGAAATAATCCTAATCTGGTCGTGAGCTAATCCAAAACTATTCATGGCCACGCAAAGAGGCAATTACAGATTTTCTGCTGGGTTACAAAACAATTTCAAACTTTCTGCGGGGTTAACACAAATTTTAGCCATAACGAGAGCCAAGATACGATTTTGGAATGCAGAATTTCGAAATACGTAAACAAATTTTCGCACTTTAGACTAAAATGTAGTCAAAAATTACAATTTAGATACTGAAACCTTCGTGGATCTACTTTTTTTTTTTGAATTATTACACTCCTGTTCGATATGTGGGATATGTGTTCGCCCGTTTTGGTACTAAAAAATGCAATGCAGTAAATTGGCTTTCTAGCCTCCATTTTGTATGTATGTAATTGCTAATGCAATGTTTTTCATACTTCATTACTCCCTTTTAATTAGAAACTCTATACAATTTAGGCATTTCTTCCGCAGCTATAGTAGTGTTACCCCTTAAGAAATATGGACGCACCAACTGATATCACCACAAACTTACATTATAATCACCAAGTGTTGTTTGAAATAAAGCCATCCAAGTACTCGGAAAGGTGTTGAACATAGTCGATTGAATCTGCGGATGACCCTTGTAAAGAAAGTAGAATGCTTGTGAAAAGCCACAGAGTACTATGGAGTAGATAATGCCAAAGGTGAACATATCTCCCGTAATCATGGAATAGATCATTGTAACGAATGGGCCAGTGAGACGAATGGCACTAAAAGGATAACCAAAATCAGAAACTAAAAAAATTGGATTGGTAAGACCACAAGCTCACCCAGCAAAAAACATGAGCAAAAACCAGCTGCCCGGTACAGCAAATATGAGTATAGCCTCCTCCGTGTCCGTATCGCCCATCAGACGACAAGGTATGCATGCCAATATTAACAGATTTGATACTAGAAAAATGGCCTTGGCCGGAGCATGGGTCTGAAAAGATGAAGAACAGAAATGGCGAAGCAAAGTAAAATAGTGGCAACAGAGAAAACAAAGATTAACCGCAAGGTTCAGCCTACCAATTGTTTAAGAAAAGCTGGAAGTCCTTGATTTTTAATCTCATCCCCTTGCTGGAAAACGACGTAGCTCAATACGCCCACAATGGTTGCAAACTCAGCACAATAGCGCGCAATAGTTTGCACATCGTACTCCTCATCTTCCGTCTCCTCAGCGAGCTCAACTGTTTTTGAGCCCTTAGAAGCACCGTTCGTAAGCGCCGTCTCATCCTCGTCATCGTCCGCTACATGAGCAGGACGCATGTAAACCGAAACGGATAGGCAAACCAAATGTATTGAAAGGATAAGCAGACGTTTTAGAAACTGATTTTGAGCGAAAGTCTTCCATTTCTCTTCTAGCAAACGTTGAATGATACCACCGTCCAGCATGTCCAAATGCTCCTCCTTGGTGCCATTCAATATGATGAAGAGAGCAGAGTTCCAGTCTATTAGGACAAGATTTAAAATTTGTACCTTTAAAGTGAGCCGATAAATATTGCGTTATGCACTCACTTGTGCGTCCATCTGGCAACAAAGTATCCAAGGCGTTCAGCGGATAGCCAGAGCAGGTAATGTTGCTGTAACGCCAAAACTCACGCGCCGATAGCTCCAACATCTCACGAAAGACCTCAGCGCGTCCCAGCTTGCAAGCCAATGTCAACGGTGTTAGGCCACTATGATTGGCTATGCCATTCTTGGCCGGCGTTTTTGGATGACGCAAAGCATAGCCGAACATATCCTGGACGGGGTTGAACTTAAGTAACTAATTCAAGAACACCAACCCAACTAGCCGTCACACTCACCAACTTATCACACACCACCACCATATGTAGTATCATATTCCCAAACGAATCTTGCGCATCTGGATCAGCACCACAATCCAACAGCAAATTATAGACACTCTCATTGGCGCAGCAGGCAGCCCACGCCAACGGATACTCACCCAAATACGCCAGGCCCTCATACTCCGTCGACTTGGCGGGATTGCGCCGCTGTTGATCACGTGGCAAAAAGAAGCTGCCAATGGCGCGTTGATTTATATCGGCACCTGCCTCAATCAGATCAGCCACTAGCTCATTGTTGCTGTAAGCAATTGCCAAGTGTAGCGCGCTGGCGCCCAAATATTCTTCACCCTCCATCACATCTTGCGCCAAGTTGGGAAAGACGCGTATCAATACACGAGCCAATTTGGTGTGTACCTTGGAATCGCATATGATGAGCACATGTAGTAGACTTTCGCCGAGTGCACCACGAAATTGCATTTGCCAGCAGGCCTTGTGGTCCTCCCACTTGCCAAGTGGGTCGTGGCGTGAGAGTGATGCCTCAATCGGTATGGTCACCTCAGTGTGGTCGCGATATTTCCAGCGCAAAAACTCGGCACGGTTAATTACTTGACCTTTGCCATCGTTGTACATAAAGATGCCAAACTGTTCGCGTATTAATTGTTCAACAGCGACAAGACCGCCAGTATTTAGTGCATCAATCAGATCGCCACCACGCTTGTAATCGGCCAGCTTGTAGAGTAGACATTTGTTGGCCGTTGGAGAGGACTGCGAGATTACAGCGTCCAGTATGGCGCCTGGTTTCATCTCCTCTGGTTTTTTGCGCAAACATCGTTTTAGAAAGAATTTCATTGGGTTCTTTTTAAATTTTCATTCGAATAAAAGAGCAAAAGCGCGACTTTGCTGCACAACTGACTTGACGTTATGTAAAACTGTTTAATCGATGCAGTGCATGGAAAGCTGAATTGCTTAACAACATTTAGAGCCATGGCAACTTTGTATTTGCTAAGTAAATAACAGTTATATTATATGGATGCATATGTGTTTATCCTGGTTTTCAGCTTTGATAGTATGAGCCCTGAATAATTGCTGATAATAAAACAACTTAGTATGCTTATCTTCCGCTTATTCTGCGATAGAACTGCCATAGCGAAGTAGGCCAGTACTTATGCCCAGCATAGACTGGGCTTACCCTATATTTGGATTGTCGTCATCAACGGCATCCGGAAGGAGCGAAAAAGTAGGTGCTGTCAAGTAATACCCTACGCTGGCAACGTGCCACTCATCGATAGAGAAATGAGTTTGGACACCCTGCATGACCTTGTGATGGTGCACTTAAACATAGTCACACTTTGATCGGCTAGCTAGTGACTTGCTATAAATCCTCAAAAGACAGTGCTGTACTGGAGATAAAGAACTCTGGTCCAGTGTACCTCAAGCGAAGGCATTTCACTTGTGCTCTCGCACAGGGTTAAGTATTTGGGAGTTATCCAGTCAAAGAGCTATCCTGCTGGCCAAATATTGAGAAACGGGTCAAAAAATAAATAACTGATGTAAAAGCGCCTTTGGGTAGAGATAGGGGCCCTCTTAAAAGGCTAACTATTGACCATAATCAACACACCGTGAATCTCATGTTAAGGCTCACGGCGTATTTCAGGCCAAGTTGGCTGCTAAATACCTAATACCGATTAGAATAGGAAATATCTCTCTGACAGCCAAGCAGAAATCAGGGTCTAGGATCGCTCGTGGTTTGGTGAATTCCGGATGGGCCTATCTTACCTTTATTGAGATTGCCTCAATTTACTTCTGGCCACCCTTGATGTAATCTCTCCTGGCAGGGAGAGCGTAGGAGTCCCTACAGTAACCTGGGGACTAGTCAAATATCCCCACATGCAAAGTTGCAATGTCCTTCTGGCTGTTAGTCGACCACGAGCAGTCGTATGATCTGCTGAAGTTGGTTCTGAGAGGTTTCCAGACCGAGCACTGTGGTACAACTTACTATCGTTTCGGATCGCTATTTCCACATCCTTTTTGTATCATCTTAGAATTCTCTTCTGAGCTGTCTGTGTTTAAATAGTTTTAATGGAGGGCGTTAGCTGCCTGCAGATCTTTATTTTGAGTATCGAGAGCTTTTTCTTACAATTTACTACGCATTACCTGCAGTTCTTTTTTCAGAGGAAACTTAGTATTGTAGTAAGTATTAAGTAACATAATGGATAACGTAAAAAACCTTGACCTTTAAATTCTTACTAACAAGGTTTAGCATCGGGCTCTGTCGTCTGTTCCTGTAATAGTGTGGTACGTATTGAGCTACAAAAACCTGACACTATCCACTGTTAGTCATTCAAGCATTCTCCAGTACCAAGTGTATATTCACATGACCACAAAAATCAGGAGCCATCATATCATCTGGTAACACAGTGGCTCCTGAACGGGAAATTAAAAATCGAAAATTCGTATCGAGTTAGTTTATTTAAAAAGTCAAGCCGGTATTGCTGTTGAAAAAATTTAAACTTACATACATATATAACCAAATGTGCATAAAATAAAGTTTTACAAAATATTTATTATCTATATACGTAAATATACTACGTATTACATACATATAAATTCAATACACCAAAAATCATATTTTTTTATTTAAAATTTCCAAATCCCAATTTTGGCCAGTTTTCGCATTGATTTTCCTTGCACTGTGTCAGTTATGAAATCCACACTAATGGTCGTATCAAACATTTCGAATTCTCGATTCGTATCCAATTATATGAAAGAGTCCAAACCTTTGGCTGAAAAAGATATAGTATTCAATTAAATACTAAATAAAAATGCGCTGTCACAAAAAAAGAAAAGTAAACAAAGCATTATGTTATTGGAAAAGCTGGCGAATATATGTACGTGCTCACTTGAGCATAAATCAAAACCAGCGTTCACCGTGCATTGGTTTTATGAATTTGTATTGCCGGTTTTTTTGAATACATAAACAATTGACAAACAAATAGGTTAACAAGACTATGTGTTAAAGTATATGTACATTAGGGTGGTCCAAAAAAAGTAAAGTCGGAATTGTAATGCTCTCACCCCCTAGGATTGTTCTATATCGAAAAAAGTAGACCCCTGTTTTTTTGGCTAAATAAACAATTGGATAAACAGAGTTTTCTGGTAAAAAAATACTAATTTTTAACTATTCTATATCATTTCTACGAAAAGTTGTTTTTCCCCCATATAAAATACATGGAAAACTTTGGGCGCTTTCAACGACCTCTATATATTTTTTGATTTCAAAATAAAAAACAGGGGTACACTTTTTTCGGTATAGAACAATCCTAGGGGGTGAGAGCATACCAATTCCGACTTTACTTTTTCGCACATGCATTTATGGACCACCATAATGTGCATACCTTCGATGCGAGAAATGTTTCCATTCAACAATACTAATTCATATATAGAGAATGCTGATTGGGCATATAAAAAAATTGATTTTCATTTGCTTGTACTTGGAAAAATTCAATTTTTTTGCATGCACAAATTTTCAGAGACTAGTTGAGAAACACACTCTGCGAAAGATTTACGGACCTTTACGCGTTGGTGATGGCGAATATCGCAGACGATTTAACGATGAGCTGTATGAGCTTTACAACGATATAGACATAGTGCAGCGAATTAAAATTCAGCGGCTCCGCTGGCTTGGCCATGTCGTTCGGATGGACAGAAACGCTCCTGCTCTGAAAATATTCAACGCGGGCCGCGATGCTGGTAACAGAGGAAGAGGAAGGCCTCCTCTGCGTTGGAAAGACCAGGTGGAGAAGGACTTGGCTTCACTTGGCATTTTCAATTGGCGTCAGTTAGCACAGAAGAGAAATGACTGGCGTGCTGTTTTGGACTCGGCCAAAATCGCTTAGGCGGTTACAGCGCCAAATAAGAAGAAGAAGAAGAAGAAGAAGAAGTTGAGAAACACATGCATATACATACATACCTGTGTCAATATGGATTAATAACTAAAGTGGGCCTTTCATCTTTACTTGAATGATAACTTTTTTTGCTCATATTAATGCCGGTATTTAGTAAGCAGCCTCCGGTCAATAATAAAAACTTTTCGTGGTGAACATCGGCGAAAAAACGTCAGCTCTGAGCAGGTCACAAAAAGACAAAATCTGGAGCAAAAGATTTAATATCATACGAGCATATTCATAGCCGAATTAAAGTCGACACTAAAGTTAGTTGCATCCTTTATCTTGACTAGGAATGCCCCCTAAAAATTAAATGAAATTAAATGTTAAATATTTTTCTTTGGAAACCAATAAAATCTAAAGATTAAAGGAAATTTGAAAAAAATATAAACAAAATTACTTTGCCCGAGGACTCGAAGCTCACGTTTCTCGAATATGTAGCATGCTAGTATTTTGCTCACTCGGCCATTGCGACTTTTAGAGCGCCGCGAACAAAATTGCGTACATATTTATGTATGTATATACATATGCACGTATTCCATCAGCTGACTGTCTCGTTTTGTTTTCATCACACATTTTTGGTAAACTTTTTGTGACTTTCTCTTACTGAATCGTCTCAAGGAGGGTTTCGGAGCGGAGCGGAGCAAAGGAGAAAGCAGCTGGTGAGCAAAGGATTTTTGCTGAAGCAGAGCTGGAGCAAAGAGCTAAAAAAATTCATTAGCTCCTTTTATCCTTAGAGAAAAATTTTGGGTTAATAAATTTACTAATTTTTTTTTTTACTTTTTCAACTGAAAACAACCGCGTTAAATAAATTTCCATTATATTTATTTTACTTGGCAATGCTGTTCATTGATGACCTATTACCTGTCATTTTATTTACAATACCAATTACAAACAACGGGATCATATAAATAACTGCACATAAATATGAAAGAGTTGCAGTGGGCGGTATCTACCTTTAGCCCATACAAATCACCGAGACCATATGGGGTCTATTGCCTGCACTCTCCAGTCTAACCCCAGTCCTCTCTAGAGCGTTGCTCTTATTTTTACCAATTAACTTCAGCTCTTTTCTTCTAAAAGGCAGCGAGAAAATCTTGGATCAACAAATCAGAGAAGTCAACCTTACGGAACGACTACTGAATAGGAACCAATTTGCCTATCAGCCAGGTAAATTCACTGAGACTGTCATTCATAGCCTTACGTCGATAATTGAAAAGGCTCTGGAGTTTAACAGGCCAACCTAAAATTCGCGCATGCCTGCAATTTACTGTCAACAGTTTTTTAACTTTTATGGGACCAACCGAAATTGCACGGCGTGCGTAAAAAGCCAACTCAAATTCCAAGATTTATGTTGTGTGACATTGCGATTTGACGTTTATGCTCATTTGACATTGTAGCGCGATTATGGATTTAAATTTTTTTCAAGAAACTTCAAGAAAATATCTTGAAAACAATAGCCAATTGAATAACTGAAAGGACATATTTGTAATCTATGAAAAAAAAAATCCTATAGGAATCAGCTCTCAAAACGCCTACCGCAAAATTTTTGTTTGCCAGTGTTATTTATGTTCATATCTGATATCACACGTCTTAAATCGATTAAGCTTACTCCGTTTCCTTTTTTCTACAAAATTCCCTTCATCTGACCTGATTATTCTAACCTCTTCTACTTACAGTTACACTTTCCACACACAAAATTTTGATAGTTTATTTAATGAGTGCAGCACTAAAATCTACACAATTTATGCCAGCACTCTGCGCGCACACCACCACCGGTTGGGTAAGCATATTAGAGTTCTACTCAAAATCATATCTTTTGTGTGCTCTAAAATATGTTCGCACGATAAATGGAGTTGCACGTGTGGTAGATACGTAGAACCGTACATACATATGTATTTAGTCGGGCAGGTACTTCCAGTACTTAGTCAGGTTAGTCGGTTAGTTGGCGCTGCCCAAGCTGGCGCCGCACACTCCCTCACTAGCTGAAATTAGGTGAGCGCGAATGTGAGTCGGAGCATTCTATTGTTTCCCCGCTCCCGTTTTTTGAAGTACTTTGCCGATGTGCCAGAAAATGAGGTAGTCACGTGCAAGTGAAATGTCGGTGAATCTGTATAGTTAGGGCATATGTAATAACCGATCTACTACATATACATAATACATAATATGTATACATATGTGCGTGTGTTCGAGTGTGTATTATCCTTTAGTTAAATATTCACTTATCCGCATTTTGGCTTGTAACCATAGCACGTTGCAGGGAAATAATTTGTCTGTTGCATTCTCTGTAAGACCACTTACCCTAAATAAGTTTGCCTGTGTGTGTGGTTGCGTGAAATGGTTTTGCATCCTTTTTTCAAATAAAGAGTGTTGTTGGAATTGATTGCAGTTGAGGCGAGCGGAGTCTCGTAAGTTTCAAACAGGAAGTGGAGGTGAGAAAATTGCTCATACCGACGGAGGTGTTAGAAGAGATAATTTTTGGGTAGGTAGGAAAGTTCACCGCTGAAAAGTTAGCTGCATTATTTTTATTATTTTTATTTTATATCCAGAGTTCCTTAATTTCCTTTATTTACATTTTGTTCTAATAGGTTATTGTGAGTATTAATTTTGCTGAGCTTTTCTGTTGTTATGAGTATTAGTTTGGTGAGTTAAAACAAGTATCACATAGCAATTAATTTATGTATTTCGATAACTCCAGTGGATTTTTTTTTGTTAAGGGAAGGCACTGCGGGCTAAGCACGTAAATTTCGTAATTAAGTTTGAATTGAACTAAAAGTAAATTTGGTTATAAAGCAACGGGAATTGCCTTTTACAGTTTTGAATATGTATATATACATTAGAGTGGTCCAAAAATGCATGTGAATAAGTAAAGTCGGAATTTTAATGCTCTCACCCCATAGGATTGTTCCATATCGAAAAAAAACTTTACTCCTGCTTTTTTTTATATTGAAATAAAAAAATATTTAGAGGTCGCTCAAAGCGCTCAAAGCGCTCAAAGTTGTTAATGTGGGGAAAAACCACGTGTTCGTATAAATAGTATAGAATTCTTGAAAATAAATATTTTTCAGTTGCATAACTTCGTTTCTCTTCAGGAGGCTTCCAATAATAATACCAAATTTTTATACCCGAGCGCACTTGTGCACAAGGGTATATTAATT